GGTGTGGCCGTGTAAGGGCGCCCAAGAGGGTATCAGGGGGTGCACAGCGGTCATGCTGGAGGGCTCTGTCTGTCAAGGTGTCGACTTCGCTGGCCGGCGTGCCGCTCCATCCTGCATCGCAGCGCTGGGCCTTCCCTCACCAATGTCCAAGATCTGGGAAGATCTCTGCCCACGAGGCCTTCTGCTGGCCCTCGGCTGTCTTACCGACACAAGATTGGCCTTCCCGACATCAATTCAGGCCTCCCTGCACGTCATTTGATGCTGAGCTGTGGAGACCTGGCCTCTGGCTGGGTTGGTTGTGGAGATCTTTCATTTCTGCTGGTGTGGTGATGATGCTGGGCTGCTGGGCGCTTGCCTGACGCCTTCTGGAGTCCTCCGCTCATGTGCCCGATGCGCTGAGCTCTGTTCGCTCCGGTGCCTTGTGGTGTTGAGATCTGTTGTTGCTAATGATGCTGCTGTGCTGTTTGAGCGTTCGCTCTGGGGTGTGGCATTGTCTGACCACCGGCGTGACCCGTGTGACGACTTGCCTTTGTGGTGTGGTGTGTGCCGCTTCGCCCCACCTCTCCTTCGCGTCTTGTATGTCATTATGGATGATGGACGGTTCATGCTTCGTGGATTCTGACTTGCATATACATGGCTGTGATGCGATTGGGTTGGCCTAGCTGTGGGTGCAGACGATGGACGGACATTGGGTGATGATCTCGTTCTCTGAACGATTGACGCCACCCCACAATGACGAGGCGCACACTTGACACGCATTGGCGAGATCCCCATCGTGATGACTCCCTCTGTGAGGGCGCGACTGGCCAGCTTGGCGGGGATCCCAGGCCCCCAGACGCCCCCCTGTCACAGTTTTGCCTGTGTTGGCCGCGCGGTGTCTGTTGGTCAAGGGGTCGGGGCGTGTGGGGTGGGTGATGGTGACGTCGCCGAGCCTGCCTTTTCCCTCCTCCACCCAGTAGAGGTCGATCCGTTTGCCGTCTGGATCGGTGGTGGCCGGGTAGACGCCCAGACGCGCCAGGTTGACCTCTCGGTCGACGGCGATCTGGACGCTCCTGATGATGCGTCGCCACTCCTCGCACAGCAGGTCGTGCCGCCAGATGCGCTCGTTGCCTGTGCCGCAGCAGAGGAGGTGGTCGCCGTAGGGATCCAGCTGGGTGCCGCACGAGCAGAAGTCCGATGCGAGTGAAGGGTGTTGGGTGGCGCCGATCCTCAGACGGCAGCAGGTGACGAAATCCTCGTTGGTGAAGCGCAGGCCCGGGTGCGCTGGGACCGTCGTCAGCCAGCCGCTAGCTCCTGGGCCTCGACAGCTCCTCAGCCGTGCGCGGTCTCTTGGCTCCTCGCCGAACTCGTCCAGCAGGGCGTCTGCTTCGATGCGCATCAGGCTGGCCGTCAGGTCGTGTTGTAGCCGTGGTTTTGTGCGTCCCTCGAGCAGCTTGGCCAGTGTGGGCACCTCGTCTCCGGCAGCTTCTCCAGTAGCTTCTCTCTTGCCGACTCCGCTGCCCGTAGCCATGGCAATAGCTGTTTGTTTGGCTACTGAGACGGCATTGGGTGCTCGAGCTCAAAGAAACATGTTTTGTGCGCTTTGAGGGGCAGACGTGTGGCGGTGTCTTTCTGCGTGCGTTTTGGCCGTTTGCACACGACAGCTCCGATCAGTTTCACGGATCGTGCTCTAAGCTGAAAGCTGAGCTGGAGGTGGTTCTCAGCTCGCAAACAAAAATTTTGCGGCTCGCGACAAACCAACTTTTTTTCTAAGGGGTCTTTTCAAGATCTGTTTTCTGATATCTGTGGAGGGGGTCACTGCGAGGAAAAATTTGCTTCGAGCTTCAAATCCGCTCACGCGTTCGCGCGAAAAACGCCGGCAAAACACCCGGAAAATCGCTTTCTGGCTGTTTTCTCTCATCACTACCCGACAAGGTGCGGCGAAAAGCTGGAGTTCCGGCCGGAAAGCTGAGAGGAGGTGGGGAAAGCTAGCTAAGCCCACAGAAGGCTAGCTAAGCCCGCGGAAAGCCAGCC